TATCTAAAAGACTCTGGCAAATTTTATATTTTAAGAGTTAATGTTTTTAAAATGTATTTTATTATGGTGTACTTGTTTTCCAAAGTTTGTTTAAAAGTCTGTTGCAACTATAATAGCTAAAAGAAATTTAAGTTGAAGCTTGGCTGTTTCCTCACATCACACTTGTCTGGGCTGTATCTTGGATAATGCCTTTCATGTCCTCCATCTTCAGGAGCTGCCCAGGAGCTTCCTTTTCTGGAACCCATTTGATCAAAGCCAACCTGTTATGGTAGGAAGATGTTTTCCAGCAGCTATTTACTGCCACCCAAAAGAAAGGGGGCATGGCATCACATTGTAAACTTGAAGAAGGTGAATGTTTCCCTAAGTAAATTATCAACTATATGCATTCCTATGGTCTTTGTGGACATTTGAATAGAAAAAGGAACCTCCATTAATTTCCCCAGAAGAAAAGTTAAAGCTCAGATGCTATCAGAGCATGAGCGTAACACTGAAGTTATGAACGGCTGAAGCACAGGCATTTTATTGTACATTGGAGAACCCCCTAATCCATGGGGAGTCCATAGCATATTCTGGTTTCTGCTGCTCACAGAGCTATGGGTTACATTTACATATATACTGTAGGCTGGATTTTAGGCTCCTCTGTCTTATGCCCTAGTTCCAAGTATTGGGGTGGGGGTGGAGAAAGTGTTCGGGGTTTTTCAGGGGATGGAGCTTCAAGGGTGACCATCCTCTCTCCTCTGCTGGCAGATGAAGTCTGCTTTTCAAATGCGAGAGATATTTCATGGTTCATTTAGCTCCTGATCTGTTGATGGTTTTTGATGCTAGCTTTTCTTGTTCTCCCCTATACTTCTGACGTTGCCTATATCATGTCCTCGGTCTTTCTTCTGAGCTGGCCGCTGTGTATTATCTGTTGCTTTCTAGACATGTTTGAAGTTTCAGTAATGCAGATATTCTCATAGTCATGAGAGTTTCTGATGGTGGTGGTGCAATAGCTGTAATTCTGGCTACTCCTTGTTCCATACAAAAATATCAGCCCTTTTTGATCTTACAGCTATCCGTGGTCGTGCCACTCACGTTACAGTGGAATTAAGCCTGAAAATGTCTGGACTCAGTCTTCAGATTTCGGAGCTACCATCTACCTTACATAAAGACCTAGTGTAAACTGTGCAGCAGACTAAATGGATATCCTTCAGAGGAAATCCTTGCAATCCCTCCTGTGTTTAGAGATGATCACCATTATTAAGACTGACCACTGCATGGCACTATTGCACCAGCATCGCTGCGGCACCAGCCCTGAGGCATGGGAAAGATTATCTAAAATTCTCCCATTACCTCCCTCGCAGTATCCCTTCTGCTGTGTGAACGGCTGCCTCCTTCCGCTGCTGAAATAGGCGCAGGATGGGGCATGTGCTGCAAGATGGAAGTAGGGCCTGCCTCTTCCCGTGCAATCCTCTCTTCTCTCCACCAAAACCCTGCTGAGAGGGTTTGATCCGACATGATGAGATCTAACAGTTGGATGAGAAAGAAGGTGTTCATGCTGCTCTAAATGTAGGTTTTAAACCATGTCCCTCTCCCTCTGGGAGACGAGTGAGAAGTACTTTTCTCCGTATGGTTTAAGTTGCTGGGAGTAAAGCTCTTTCCCCCACTAATCACAGAGCCCATCCCTCTGAAAGGACTGCTGAAAGGCAGACAGGCAGACGACTCTGCGTGTGTGCGTAGCACGTTGCTGCACATCAGTGACATGTTTGGGGATTCTGGAGTGAAGGAACAGAGACAAATTGCTATTTGGCTATAGAAGGGTTAGGATTTTGTTCCAGTCATTCAGAAAAACCACCTCCACGTAACAAGAAGTGTGATAACAAAGGGAAAAAAAGGCATTGTTTTCAAGTTCTGGATCAGTGATGGGTTTAAACCCTACACCCAAGCCTCCTGACTTTGGAAATGTCTGACTTGGTTTGAGCATAAATTTTGTGTGGCTTCAGTAGGACCACGTGAACTGTGACAGTTTTGAATTGTTCCTGTTTGATTACTCGGGCAGTCTCCTCGTGGCAGCCTTGACGTAACTGGTGGGTTAGCTAACAGGAAACCCAGCCCTACCCACCCTCGGAGGGGCAGCCCTGGGACCTGCAGAGGCCACAGGTCAGAAGCGCCTTTCTTGGTGTGCTGCACAGCTCTGCCCTGCTGCTGAGCCGTCATATACCTCAGTGAGAGGAGGGAGCATCTGCGTGGTGCAATGCCGGAGCTCCAGGCTCCCTCCCGTCCTTTGGGAGGTTTCAGGCAGCCTACGGAAAATGCTCTGCATTGCAGTGCCAGCTGCTCAAAGCTCACGGCATGTAGTTGGGCATCTACAGTTAATCGAAGAGGGGGCCCAATTTTTCTAATCTAAAAGTCCTGAGCACTCTGTTTGTCGTGAATTAAAAAATAAATAATAAAATGAACTCCAGACCCACAACTGTTAAAAGATCCAAGTGAACAGGAGCAGAGCATGGGCTGTGACATAGGTCTACAGCGCTCACACTGTCTTGCTCTTCACTCATTTCCCTGGTGCAGTCTTGGTACCTGTGGAGAAGCATTTCCCAGGCAATGCCCGGGTCTGTGCTGGGGTGAACATGTGCCAGGGACCATCCCAACTGGCACTTTGGATGTGGACACCCTCGTCTGTGGGGGAAGAAAGTTTAGCCCCATGGAGGCAAGGCAGGCTGCCCTCCTTGGCCTCAGCATCAGAGCTCTGCCCTTGGCCTGTTCTCCGAGCAAGCATAGCCAGCAAGACAAACGGGAAAAGGGCTTGATGCACGACCAGAGCTTGTGAAGTCAATGGACAGGGAAAACTCTAAGTGACTTGCCATTGGGAAATGAAACCAAAATCCAGGAGCCCTCAAACCAAGATCCTGGACCTTAAATTGAAATACAAGCTTGACTGAATGACATATTTTACTGGGGCTTAAAGCAATATACAAACTTTGAAGCCTTGGGAACATTGGAACTCATGACATCCAGATTCAAAGTTTGCTATTTGGGTTCTCTACCAGGTTTACTTCTGGTAATTTTGCCAGAAAGACAAGGAATTTAGGCAAGGAAATCCAGCTGCCATAACAAGTTGGAGTACTCCTCTCATTCTGTGGTACAGAGCTCATTGCACACAGAGCTGAGCTTGCAGCCTTGTGCTTGGATCAGCTTCTGATAGTTTTTGACTGCGGGCCAAGTCTTCCTGGGACATAACTTGGCTCTGAAATAAAATAGGCTGCATGGGTCAGAAACTGAGTGTTGCAGATCTGGAGCTTTTGGCCCATCTCTCCGAAAGAGCAAGTAAATAATGCCACTTTCATGACTTCAAATCAGAAAACTAATCCTAGAGGTAACTTTCGATCACCTGTCCAGTTTTAAATGTGGTCAGACCCAATTTTATATCTCAGCTCTGCAGCTCAGCAGTTTCCCTAGCAATTTTGTGGTTTTCAATAAATCCTGTAAATGAATTCCTTTTACCCTGAAAATCAGTGTGTTAACAGCCAGAATCTTGCTGCAGCTATTGATGTATGTGCCCAGAGCTACATTATTCATTTTTCTTTCCCCAAATTCCTTTTTTTACCCAATATTGAGTCAGGATTAAGGGGTGCATGTGCATGTGTGTGTAGCTAGTTATCTTTTTTAATCAACCCAGTGCTAGAGGTCACATTTATAGGCTCAGTTTATATGATAATCTTTAAAAACAACCAGCCTAAGCACTGGAAAACGCATAGCAGGGGTTAGTCCTGTGTTAGCAGAGAAATAGGCTTGGTTTATTAACAGTTCTCATTTAAGTCTCATTTCCGTGCTTTTAGGACTACATTAGGTTTTCACCTCACATGGGCACATGTCAGAAAAGTAATGGAGCAAGAGAAGAGACAAGCCCTTTTTCAGTTCACAGAACCCCAATTCTTTATTAATCACAGCTTGCTCACAATGACATACAGGAAAATAGCACTAATGAAGAGTAGAATATGCAGGCAGCAACCTCCAGGGGGGTAGGGACAACTTCAAAACTGCAGCTATTTTGGGGACGATGTGTTAGGTTTGGTGATACTGTACTTGGCACAAGCACCCTGTCTAGTCATTCCTCCTGCTTCAGCCCTCTTAGTCCTAGATGTCTGTCACTAGGTAGGGTTGGCTAACACTGAAGAGTAAAATTCATGACGAATGGAAGTCAGCAGTGTCAAAAAAAAAGGTAACAACTGGCTCATGGGTTCCAGATGAAATATTCGGTAGCCTCTTGTACTATTACACATGTAATGTGGTAGCATCAGATAAGTATCATAGGTCATGGCATCTACAGATAAAGCCACTTGATGCTTTTAGTTGCTCCATCAATAAATTTTCAGGTGGTGAATTAAGCTCACTTTACAATTAGCATTTGTATGGCTGTTTGGCATCATCAGAATTTGTCACAGCTTGATGGTTACAATGTGCGTCTTAAATTTGCCTCAAACTGATCCCACTTGCTTTCATTCTGTTGCACAGCTGTATTTGTTGCCTCTCACTTCAAAAAGCAGAAGCAGCAAGTACTGCACGTGGCGATTTAACCTCAATTATATAGCACACTACAGAGTCCTGTAGTCTAAGTTGCACTTGAAGAAACTACATTTTAAGAGGCTTTTGTCTTGGACAGCTGAACGTGAAGTCACAAAACCTGTGATCTAGTCACTGTTTTAACAAAGCTTATTGATGGCAAAGCAGTCTAGGTTATTAGGCAATGACTGGTCTCTAGCACCATAGAACTACTACTGACCTCGTGGTGGGTTGGAATGAAAGTCGCAGGGAATGGAATTAGACGTGAGGTGCTTCAAATGAACAGACCCAGCAAATTCAATTGAGTGGAAATAGACAACATCAGAAGCCTGTTACAGGACATGTAAGATTATGAAATAACTTGCATAATGCAATACTTGTATTTTTTAACAAAAATGTAAGTATTTACAAAGTAAGATCCAAGTTTTTTAAACATCAAGCAAATCATTCTGCAAAGAGACCGCATTGTTTTTTTATTTTTGTTTCTTTTTTAAAGTTTTTTATTGAGTTCTTGATTTTTTTTTTTTAAACCATGTCATACATTTCCCATACTGATATCGCATGATCCATAATAATATAGGCAGGGGGAGTTTACTAATGGTGGGGATGGGTCACATCCACCATTGCTGTTTTCAGCCAGACAGTTCCACCTGGAGCTCCTTGTTTCTACGGACCTCTGCAGCATGCCTCTCCTGGAAAACATCAAGAAGGGAAAAATCAAAACTCTTTCTCATTCTGCTGCCCAGGGAGGCTCCTGGTGACAACCCATTTAGGTTGTGCCTTTGATGCTTGTGCAAAACTTGTTTCACAGCACAACTGTCTTTAAGGGATGCAACTCAGGAGAGGTGTCCCACCAGACCAGCCTGAGGCATGTCCGATGCTTACATTCTACTTATGCTCTGGAGCTCGGTCTTTTATCTGGTATGGCCTTATAATCCTCAGCACCTCACAGAGTTTCATTTTAAAGGCCCACATAGAGAGGTGCTGCTTGCAGCATAAAATGTGCCATGTGCTCACATTTGCCCTTCGAATTCCTAGATGTTAAACTAAATATAGGGAAGGATGAGTGGGCTTGAATTAATTCCTTGCACACTGTATGCAGAAGAAGTGTTAGTTACTGTGTTATCTGTAGCATTTAGGAACCATAAATAAAGGTCCAAGAATTTAGTTCCGTCAAGACGGGTCAATCTGAACATCTCAAACATCGCCTTAGACCAAACGATGAAGCTAGCTGTCGTCTCCATTCTTTCTCTGGCTGTGATGGAGAAGGGACACAGTTACCAAAAGTCAATACTAGGCTCTTCTCTCCACTTTCAGCCATGTTTTCTTCCCTTTCACAAAAGCAGTCATAACTAATTTAGACTTATTTGAGCCACTGTATATTCAGATACTTCTGTGGAAATGGGCCTGTGGTCAGGAACAACAGCTGTCGAATTTAGGAATGTTCTACTTGGGGTGTTTATAAAACTATTATTTTTGGCAGCTTCTGGCTTTTAGGGTTTTTGGTTTATGCCTCTTTCCTTTCAACTGTCAAACTATCAGACTTTTATTTCTTGTGTCTGATCACTGAAAAAAACTCCAGACAACCAAATGACAAGCACAAGCTCACTACAGAAGCAAACATCCATCCCTAGCTGACTTCAGTTTAAGACGCTCCCTAGGTATTTCCATGCATTAGAGGGTCTTTTACAGTCAAAAATTCACTGAAGTAAACACTTATCTTTTTATTGTCTGAGTTGGACTATGGATCACAGGCCAAGACGGCTTATTGCATCAACTGACTCTGTAAATCACAGTTTCTTATAAGATACATAATTCTGAATGCTAGATTTTATATGGGTCTTGTTCCTTGCTCCTGTTAACTGCAGTATACAGAAGTTATCTTTGATTGTAGGAACTTCTAGACACCAAAACCTCGGGGCGTCCACAGTTCTGTGTAACTTTTGAAGATTTGGACCCAGATATCTCACTTCTTCTTTTTCTGCATATTCAGGGTTCACTTTTGTGTTGGCAAACTGTGTAGTCATGCAATTTTTAATTACTGGTCTGTACAAATGTTCCCAAATGAATTATTGTCATTTTTGTTCAGAAGCCTTCTTTGGATTTCATGCATATATGCCATCATATTGCTGTGGAAACGGGGCTTAGCAGTCTGTTAACATTAACCTAGGACAGAGAGACGCTTCAGCTGTCCTTCTGATTTCCTTTTGGGCCTCAAGGATGGCTAATTGACTTTTCCCTTTGTTTTCATAAGCTTTGGGATATGCGCCTGCAAACTAATTTAATGCAAAAACATCAAGTAATCTGGGTACAGTTCTTAAGATCAAGAATGATCCTTTGGTTTCTGTTGTTTCTTTCCTGCTCCCCAAGACTTTTTTCTCCGACAAAGAAGCAGAGGTGCTTATGGAGAAGATCTCATTGAAAACCACTGAGAGCTATTTTCTTTCTGTTAGTCAATTCACTAACATATTAGAAAGTTCATCATTGAGAGACACAAGTGATCACTTATGCAGAACTAATTAATTTTTTCTTAACACTTCTAAATCTTTATTCACATGTTTCCCTCTCTTGTGTGGAAGGGTTGTTTTGGAGAAAGGCACACTTAGTCTGCATGGTGGGGTTTGTGATTTACCTGTTTCCTCTGACTGTACCAAAGATCTCCAGAAGAAAATGTACTCTCTTTAGTTGCAAGACTTATGGAAGAACAGGACCCTTTTGATGTACAGGAAATATTTTTTCCCCATATTTTTTCATCTTTCTCCTCTGAGAAACCAAGAACTACAGACACAAGACAACTGTTTGATCTGTTCAATGACTTTTCTTAAAAGTCGAAATCTAAACACAAGCGACCCTTCATTTGTTCACAGCACTTCTTAAAAGCTAGAAAATCAACCTTTCTCTGGAGACAGTCCAGCGAAGGGCCATGATGATTAAGGAACTGGAACATCTCCCAGTCTCTCCTATGAGGAAAGGCCGAGAGAACTGGGACTGTTCAGCCTGGAGAAGGGAGGGCTTAAAGGGGGGATCTTATATAAATACCTGAAGGAGGGTACAAAGAGGACAGAGCCAGGCTCTTCTCAGTGGTGCCCAGTGACAGGACCAGAGGCAATGGGCACACGCTGAAACACAGGAGGTTCCCTCTGAACATCAGGAAACACTTTTTCACTGTGAGGGTGACCGAGCACTGGCACAGGTTGCCCAGGGAGGTTGTGGAGTCTCCATCCCTGGAGGTATTCAAAAGCCATCTGCACATGGTCCTGGACAGCCTGCTCTGGGTCACCCTGCTTGAGCAGGGGGGTTGGACCAGATGATCTCCAGAGGCCTCTTCCAACCTCAACCATTCTGTGATTGTGTGGTTATGGATGTTTAGTCTTTTTCAAAAGTGAGTGGTGGTTTAGATACGCATCAGGGGCTCTGATTTAAAAATTGCTCAACTGTAGCAACTAAGATAGGAGCTACCCACAACATCTCTTCAAAATATTGATTAGATTTTCCTTTCTAGTCTAGGGTGAGGAGTGATAGTGTGGTTACCTTTTCTTGGAGACGTTCAATAAGAGCAGCTAAATTAGCTTCACGGTTTTCTTTGATCTGTTCCATTTTCAGTATCAGCTTTTCCTCTGCCATTTTGCTGAAGTTATTGTTCTCCTCCAAAGCCTTTTGAAGCACTTCTCGCTCATGTTCTCTCTTCTCTGCCAGATGTTTCAGCACCTGGGCCTCCTGGGACTGGAAACAGAGAGACATGCAGCTGAAATGAAATACTCATGTGGAGCAAAAAAAATCCCATAGGGCAACAGTTCACTGAGTTTGGAAACTGCATAAAGTTTGTTGCTTAGTTGTTACATGCACAGTTTGGAAAGATCACTTCTCTGTGTAAACCAGATTAGCTTCAGTAACAGGGGCTTAGAGACACTGGCTAAATGTGAGGTATGTGTGTGAGGCAGCAGCAGAGAAGCATCCGAAGCACTTCTGTTAACAAGAAATGCTGTCATGGTTACTGCCCTGGGTTGTCTGGGTTACTGCAGTGGTTGCTCAACCTCTGTCAGCTGCAGTCTTTTAGCTATGAGCATTTTATTTGTAGAGATACGGGATTGGGGGCTGAAGGTATGAACAGTGTTAAAAAGGAAGTTGCCGACACAGGAGAGGTGCATTTTTCACCTAGGCTGGACTATCCTTTAATGTGCTTGAATAGTTAATAACAGGCTTTGAAGTTTACTGTTGTGAAGGACAGACAGAATCAATTCAGACAATGTTTTTTTCCCATGATATTTATGTTTGGTTTCATCTCACTGATTAGGAAGGGAAAAAAGGGTTTTATTCTATAGAAAATAAAAAAAAAGCTATTTTTAGTTAAAAATTCAAATTTTGCAAGAAGATGAAAACTGCAAGTAGGAATTAAATGGATGCAGCCTATGCGCCATACTATGTTATTCTTCTTTGTAAACTCATTGCTCAGAATCATAAGCTTTGTTATTTATTTTAAATCAAATTACTAACACGAAACCACTAATACTAGGAGAGAAGCCAAAGAAGTTGCAGCATTGGGTCTATCCTCCAGGCAAGTCTAATTGAAAAGGCAATATGTTACAGAGGGGTTATTTGGAAATGATAAACAACATTGATCGCTTCTGGATAAAATAAATTAGAGGGCGCATGAGAAGCAAACAGAAAACAGGGAATGAAATATGGCTCCAGGAAACTAAGTGTTTATTTCAGTGCAGATCACAATACACTGTTAGCGTTGTTATCCATAAAAATAAATTAGTTTAAGGCCTAAATTAAAGGGCTTAACCAATAATTACAATTAGTGATAATGAATCCTATTAAATTATATCGTGTGGCTTTAAATGGAGTGAAAAAGGCTGCAATTCTTTTACATGAGTGAGATCCAAGTTGGAGGAGAAAACAAGTATTTTAACGAAGGTAAGATACACATAAAGCCAAATGCACTGATGAGGCAAATTAAGCAGATTCTAGAAAAGGCTGCAAAGGCCAGGCAGAACACCTTGCAGCAAGACACTGGAGTAAAACATATCTAGCTTTGAAAGCCTGTAATGGCTTGCTTGAGATCAGAGGAAAAAACTACTTTCATCAGTCTTGGTTACTTAATGCATTTGCTTTCACCTCTGGCCTGGTTGCAGTTAAGGGTTCATTTCTCAAACTGTGATCCCTGGAGCACTTGCTGATGGGAATGGTCTACTGAAATGGTTGGTACCTTACAAAGGCTCCTCCTTGCTCTTACCTCCATTACAGCTTATGCCGAACAGAGAGTAATAGAGCAAGCATTTTTCAGATCTTTGACTCAGAGAAAATAACTGTTGTGCAGGCCAAAAGATGTTGCAAATGGGAACAAAAAGTCCCCAGACAGGCACAGCCAAGAGAAGAGGGAGTTTCACTGGTGGAGAATGGAAGGAGGATGAGCCAAAGGGAAAAAGAGCTGGGCAAAGAAGGAATTTTGTAGACTAATTGAAAAATCATAAAAGCCCCATAAGTTTAACAAAAACATCAATAATTTTAATAATCATATAATAAAAATAGGTTATTTTGAAGCAAAATACTTGATTCCAGATACTTAGCATTTAACATTTCTTTAACTGTAGGCTATTTTAAAATGTAAAAAAGTTATTTTGAAAGATTTGGTGCAATGTAAAACTGAAATAATTGAACATCTTCATCTTGTTTTACTATTTTTGGACCAATTTGAGTGGCTCAGTTTGACCAGTGCTTGTGAAGTTATTCTGCATTTTCTGTTTAATTTACTGTTCAATGGCAACCTTTCATCTAATTTTGGAAAAGTTATTGTCATTAAATTTTGGTTGCTGATAGGAATTTTGTGAACCCTTTGCTTAAGTTATCTAAAAGTAACTTTGATAATCTAAGAATCTATTTCCCTTCCTGTTGGGAGTTTGAATAGAAAAGATACTATGATACTAATTGTAATGGCCTTTCCTATGAAACGTTTAAGAAGTGACTTGTTAATTTGGATGGCTAACGTTTCATGGCGTTAAATACATATATATACTGTGTTATAAAATCAAGCACTTTCAGATAACAGACATTTCCAAGGACATATCCAGGGCCCATGGAAATGCTATAATAAAAAGTAAGATCTGGACTGTGCCTATAAGCAGCATTTTTGAAAAGAACATTGGCTTTCAACAGGAGGTAGCAAAATGCCTTTGAGACTTTGGGGTACTTGCCCATTTTTCAGGATTTGTTTTCTTCTCTTCTGGAAGAGAACTGCCTTCTGGAACTACTTATTATCATAAATCCAGGAGAACAGTGAAAAATTAGAGTTCCATATAAAAGTACACACAGTTCTGGAGGCTACGCTGGCAGACATCGCATTCAAAAGTAATTTGTCCACTAATGCATGATAATGAAGAAAATCCTTATAGACTAATTCAGTATTTACTGAATGCAAATTGCACTGGCACCAGTAGGAGTCTGAATGAAAGCTAAACCAGGCCTCAGGAACTGACTGCACACTCCAATGCGATTTTCCTTCATGATATACCTTAAATGGCATTCCTTTTCCTCACTCAAAATGTTCAAGGTACCCAGGACTGGTTCAAAATACAGGCACCCTCCTCCCTGCCACAAAACATTCATGGGGCAGAGTCTCATTTAAACTGACGTCCCTCTTCCAATGCCATTGTACCCCAGCTGTGAGTCTGCCTGTTTCCCTGGTGTTCAGACCATTTTTGAAATCCCCTTAGGACAATTTTGGAAGGTGGTTGGTATGTTTTTGTACTGGATTGTCAAACAACTTTCTGTTTCCAACACATTTGGCAAAAGAACTTGGCCACCCTGTCTGTTCGAAAGTCTACTACACATCCAGAAATGGCTAAATGAATGACCCAGATACCCAGTGGGCCTGGGATTAACAGACTCCCTTTGTTGTTTGTGTTGGCTTTTAACTGCTATGTTTGGACTCCCGTGGTCTTGACACAGGATTCCAACATACATAGGAAGTTTTTATTCCAAGTTTATCTTCAACATTGTATTGTTTGAAGTGCTGGAAAGGATATTTTGAAATCCGTGATAGTTGATATTCTAACACACTTGTAAATGGCTTATGGTAAGTGCTTCTTGTACAGCTATTGTAAGAAAATGAGTAAAAAAGGCTGGAAATGGGATGAAAGATAAAGAAGATTAATAAGGAGAGAAAATTATGGAATGGTGGAGAAAGGAAGAAACAATACTCAAGAGGGAATATTCAGAAGACTTCTTAAATATAACAAGGCTTAATCAATGAAGCTACAGCACATCTAATGCTAGGTGTGGAGGATAAAAATGTTGTAAAACATTCCTGGTACAGACACTTTTGCTCCTAGAAATGTACTACTGTGCTAAAAACTTCTATGTCATATTTCTAAAGGATCATGTGCACCCCCAGTTTTCAGAGATTAGTGTTTCAAAAGGAAATCCACATCTCATATTTAGCTGGCCAGAGATAGATGCAGACAACTAAACATTCACTTTATGAGCAAAATTGTTTATGGAAACTGGCTTTGGAGATAGATAGACATATTTTTTAATTATTACTCACAGGACGAAAATTCTATTTATCTGAGTAACAGGTGCTTTATTTTCTCACATTTATCTATTTTTGATGTGTACATCCAAATATTGAAGTCATTTATGCAGAGATAAAATTAAAGGATTACTTTTAAGCAAGAAATGGGCTCAGACAACTGCTTTTAAACTAGGAATTTCAGCTTGAATGCATTCACCCGACCATCTTAGTTACTAGGATGTATGAGGCACACTACCAGCCATGAGAACTCTGATTTCGTAACACATTCATTCACTGGCTGGATTTTTTAAAATTAAATTGTTCAGCAGAAGCTGCATTAACCTTGGTATTCTTCAGTGTATTGTGTATTTAAGAGATAGTATTAATGGAGCAGAATGTGAAGACAGGATTAAAGGCTCCTACTGCAACATAAATGCCAAGGTGAAGCCTAGGTATTAGTCAGAAAGAAATGGTGAGTTGAAGTAGTGATGTTTTCAGAGGAAGTAATTGAGGTTGGGATTTTTCCATGTAAAAGCAAGGGAATGGACTCAAGTTAGACCTTGCTCATGGCACTGGCTTCCTCAAATCTCTGTATGATAACATGCTATTCCTCACTGGGAATACTATTATTTGTATTACATTAGCACCTGTTCTGGCTGTTGTGAGGACTCACTGTCCCAGGCAGTGTGCAAATATACAGGGAGAGGCAGTTCCTCTCCCAGAGTGATGACAGTCTAAAGAGACATGAAGAAGAGGGGGATGATCCTGCTCCATGGAGTCACAGAGCAGAGGAGTGAAACGGCCATGTGGCAGGAGAGCCAGAGACATCTGAACTATAACTGTAGGTGAAGTCCTGCTTCTACTGAAACTAGATGGTGCAAAATTTTGCTTGAATTTAGATGAGAATCCTTTTTTTTTGTCCAGTCTGCCAAGGGACCTTTGGGTCAGGGCTAGTAAAAACATGAAGTAGAGTAAAAAAAAAATAAAGAGCCCATCCACAATGTGATTCCAGAAAACTCACTGTCTCTTCCTCAGCTGGCACTGAGGAATTGCTGCTCTCAGGGTTGTGACCCATGGAAAATTGCTGCTCTCAGGGTTGTGACCCATGGGGGTGAACAAGGCATGTTGGAGGGATGCAAGCGGTATCACCTGAGCCCTCTACCTGATGTTCCCCTACCTGCTCATGAGGCATTTCTTGATCTGCTGCAGTCTGAAGCCTGGCATTTTAAAGTTAATGAAGATCAATGTCAGTTTGTCTTATGATTGCTGCAAAACGGCAAAGCCCACGGTAGACTGTGGAAAGAAGCTTTGCCAGCATTGGGATATATGCTGTCTCTGCTCACGACTCTACATGCTCCGAGACAGAACCTGGTGCCTAACACCAAACCTTCTCCCAGCTGGTAGCAAACACCTTCCCATGGGCACATATCCCATAGGCTTACGCTTTTTGGATGAGGAACTGTGGAGTGGCTTGCAGTTTTGGTTATCTTCTGTAAACATTAGGGGTGAAGCACCATGTATGGAAACACTATGGTGTAAATCAAAACGGGGCAGAAACACATGGTTCCAGTGCTGATTCCACACATATTGCTAGGACCTTTACACAGAAAAGCATTTCATGCTGTATTCCCTCTCCGCACAAGCACAGCCAAGGGCCAACAGTAACAGAAAGGGAGATGAGTAGATGGGCAAGACAGGAGGCAAATGCCTTGGGCAGTGCCCGTCCTCCCTCCCAGCCTGCTCGCTTACAAATTACAGGAAACCAAGGAGGGGAATAGGAATGAGTTGGAAGAACAAAGAAAGCTCCACTTTTGCCAGGGAAGGTGCTGATCCCTTCTCTGCCTCTCCTCTTGCCTGGAGCGGCAGTTTTGTAGGTCCCGCACAATTTCTAGGAGGGGGCATTTGTCCCCCAGCTCCGCCATCTTCCCCGCCTTGGGGAAGCCTTTTCCCCCAACAGCCTGCTGTACTGTGCGGTAACGCATGGGTGGCTTTTTCAATGCCAAAGGAGAGACGGATCAAGAGTATTAGGAAGTGCCTCTGGGCAGGCTGTGGGGCTGGCTCAAAGGGGTGGCGAGTTGGGTGCTGAAGCCTAATGCAGAGTGCGGCCACAATGCTGGCAGAGATGCCCTGGGCTGCCTGCCTGCTGCAGGGAGCACAGCAAGCCTTGCCCAGTCTAGGCTGCACCAGGGGCTTATTTTGCAGCATTTCATAGTAATGGTATTAAAAACTCATGTAGCTATAAGTCTACATCCAACAGCATGAAAGTTAAAAATTATGACTGTTCTCCTGCATTCTTTGTGGCGCTAAGCACTAGGGACGAGCCTGATTCAATTTCATCCCAATAGAAAGCCATTAAGAGGATTTAATTACATACGATTTCTCTCCCATAATCCAAAGTCTAGTAGAAATGTGTGTCCCTTTAGTGTTTCATTTTTATGCTAGTAAGTTGAACATGGGCAATAAAGATATATAATTCAACATATGGCTCTTGAAGTCTGTACATCAAGTGTAATAATAGCTGAACATTCAAGGCCAATGGATAAAAATTGATAAATGTTAAAGGTTCTGTGAGGAATAAACTTCTGCTGCTTACAATGTCACTGTGCTCTAATTTCTTAAGTGGTAAGGATGAAAAGATCTTTCCGATTATCCACGAAGGTGGGAAAATATAGCACACATATGCCAAAAAAATAATGGGATTATAACGACATGTTTTAAAGAGGATTCTATAAATGGAAAGGACAAATCTGTAACTAGCCCAAATGGGTCTCGCTGTGTGGTGCAAAAGGAAAAAATGCCTCAGGTGAAACTCTCGGTCTGGTCTGAGAGTATGAGGTTACAGTGACTGTCAAGTGAGGTAGAGAAAGAGGGTCAGAAAAGGAAAGAGCCCTGTAAAAGCTTATAAGGGAATCAACAAGAATGATGACAGGAAACAGCATAAGCAGGAGACTGCGGAAGTGCATGTATTGCTGTATGTGTTCTCATGAGTTTGAAAATTTATTAATGAACACTGCCTAATTAACGGAGCAGAACCTAATTCCTAAACAGTGTGAAATCAATCAGTATTTGTTCTGAAAAGGCAATTCTCATCCATTAGTTATACTTGATTTTAATTAGAACTGTGCTGGAAGGACACAATCTAGAATGGTCATGCCTGACAGCTGTTGTACATAGATTGAAAAGTATGATAACAAATGCCATGCTGGATGTCAGAAAGTCTGTCGGGTTTGTCTAGCAGCAGAAAGTGGAAGATGCTTAGGGAGAGTGTAGATGAAATTGGGCAACTCTGCCTGGTCATTTCCTTGAGAGAGAGAGATATATAGCTCCCTAGCTTTCAGGAGTCACCAAGTTACGTATTTTCTGAGCCAGAGGCTGCATTCATATAATCATTTCGTACAAGGTAGTGCTCTATCAATTTTGCTATTATATTTTTGAAATAAATAATATTTTAATAATCTCTAAATAGCCTGTGATAACAAATACAGCTTGATTAAACAATACATGAAAAGGTGATTCCCTCCCTCTGTTTTGAAATTGCTGTCTGATGATTTCATTGAGTGTTTCTTTCCCTTTGGATTGTGTGAAACAGAATATAATTGTTCCTATTCATCTTCTCATTACCATTCATGACTTTGTAGACTTCTATCTTATCTTCCATCTGTTGTCTCTTTCCAAGCTGAAAAGTGGACTATTTAATTTATCTTCTTATGGAAGATGTTCTGTTCCTCTGATTGCTTTTTTATCCTTCTCTGCAATATACTCTTTTTCAGGCCAAAAATGAAGGCAATAGTTGAGATGTGGGAGCACCAGGGATTTTAACAGTTAGGTAATGAAGTTTTCCGCTCTGTTCTTTGTTCCTTTCCCAGCAATTGCTGCTGCAATGCTAATATGGAGGATCTTGTCTATTAAAAGAACTCAGTTATATGTTCATTCAAAATGAATATAGTACCAAGGGGAAGAAATGGCAGGTGTCTGTATTGCTATCACTGATTACCAGTTTACTGCATAATGAGTTTTTCTTTAGGAAGAAATGAATAGTAACAAAATAAATGAAATTAAATCTCTGGGACGTTAAATTTATATTTCCCACTAAGTATAATATCAGGCTTCTTAACTGCTGCCATTTCATTCTGTCCATATCTTTACTTGAGCATTTGTACTCAGTACAGAGGCACTTCACGGATCGAGTCTTTGGGGCATATCATCATTTGCGTGTGTGAAAGCTCATACTTCTGGGCAGGTGCTAGTGCAAATGCATATTCCTTTCACATACAGTCATGTCCTTTTACTGAAACGAATATTCTGGCAGAAATATTTCTTTGAAAGAAGCAATAGTGCTAATGTGTGTGCATTAGAAGCAGAGAGTCTGTGTTAGCAAGGCAGCAGAAATGGCAAATGTGGCAACACTTCAGGGTTCACCTAAATGAATTGTTCAAATTAGTGAGGTCCAGAATAGTCAGGTTTCACTGCAAATCAAAACTGAGTGCCAGGTTTTAAGGACCTGTCAGTAATCCAGATCTGCTGACTCCAATGGATTCACATCTCACCACACACCAGTATAAACACTCCACTGGGTTTCTTGGAAGCAACCCTGGTCTGGGGTGCTATCTGTGGCATATCTGCTGTCCCTCCCTGGACTTCTGTATACACTTTTGTCTGTATCTGGAAACAATTATGTAAATGCCAGTTTTAGTAACAAATCACATTGTTTAAGAGATAAATTAAAGGCTTAGAGACATCTAAGCTTGTTTCATTTTTAGATATGCTCTACCAGGGACTCCATGAGCAGGTGGAAGGGGTTTCTAACTCCAATTTAACTGGTGTAGGCAGATTTGCCACAAAATAACATTGATTGCGTGGTTGAAGGACACAGAAAGTCCTTCTATGGCTCCTGAGGCTTCTCTGGCTTCTGTGGCTCTCCTCTTGTGCCATACCAAAAGGAAACATGGAATAACCAGGACAATATATTACCACATCTTGAATTTTCTGTGGCCATTGCAGACAGCCATGACTTTCCTGAAATGGTGCAACACAGCATAAACACTGGGCCCATACAGAACACTGCTAATTTTCAGACTGGCAATTCAGGCTGGCAATGGTGTCTCATTGGCTTTGCCTGTCATCCTCTGACTTACCTGATCTGGAATTTTGCCTTTTATCTTCTGGAAAAAAAAAAGGCAATCTGAGCTAGCTCTGAGTTAGAGCAAATAAAGACCTCTTCAACACATCAGTCATGATGAAAGCCAAATAAACAGTTAACGTGGACTTCCTGTTGCATGCACCCTGCATTTGTGCTAACCTTTGTGAAGAAGGTGTAACAACCCTTCCAAACCCTATGTGACAAACTTATTGATTATGAAACAGGGTTTTACCACTAAGGGTAAGGTCATAAAGGGAAGACTTAGTCTGTAGATAACCCCACAAGACCAACTTCCAGCACTATTGAGACTGTCTGCTAGAAATGCCTCTCCTTAGCAGCTGTGCTATGCTAGCATCTCCATCCAAGTGTGTGGTGAGTGATCCAGAATGCTCTTTATTCAGGGCTGGCATGCTTCCATACTGCATAAATAAGACATTTTAGCTGCCTCAGGCAGGCCTTGTGCGTAATTTCCATGGGCACTACAAGGAGTCAAGATTGCACATCCATCTCTTAAACTTAGACACCAGAAGAATTGCACTGGTTTTCAGCAACTATTATAGATGCTCTGAATGAACTACTTACACTCACACAGTAAGCATGTGTATTTGAACCCACTTGGGCCTCCTGTCCAAAGCTATCTGTATTTTGTGATGTATACTTCCCAATCATCAAAACCAGTGAGGTTTGTTTGCAAGCTGCTGAAAGAAAATAAACTCATTTTTTCTTTAAACATGTTACTAATTTTTGTCCATGCAGGCCACTGTGATTCAGTGATGGCAATGGAAAACACATCAACGGACAGGAAACTTGGCTGTTATTCTGTACACTAAGTCAGGTCTAATTACTAGCATTTTTTTAAGGAAAGATACCTTTCTCCTCTCCTCGGCAGCCTCCAGCTTTTTCTGGATCTCCTCAAGAGAGAGTTCTTTCTTCTTTGGAGAAGCTAAAGTTCGTGGTGCTTCTGAGACCGGAGATGGCGGCTTTAGGATCAGTTCAAAGGCCTGGCCCGAGGCACGTTTGTTGATTTGTTTCACTTCCATGTCTGCACAATAAAGTGAGAAATGCTAAGCCCTTCAATACCTCAGCGGTATTGAGGAGAGAAGCAGCACAGACGTTAGTGTAGGATCAGAAGTACAGACAAAAGATTTAGCATCTTTGCCTTGGGCATTTTAAACGCAATGGCAGATTATGGGCTGAAAACTGTTCTCAGGAGAAGTACATTCCATTTTATCTGTAATAGCTTAATTATACTTTAATCTCATAAAGATAAAAATGTACAGCAGTTTTGGAAGCTTATTGGGGTTCTGTGTCATTTCACACCCCCTGCGAGCAGTGCCCAAGCTGATTAATTTTTTAAGCATGCCTTCATCTTTTCTTGGTTTCCTTGGGAATTATGTCAGCTGTGAAGAGCTGTAATTTTCAAATGGGTAGCAGGAAAAGTACAGCTCAGTATGAGAGGGCTAGCTTTAAGAGTTTAGTTAGCTGCTATTAGGAACAATAGCCAGCATCACGGGTAATACACAATCAATAGAAGGTAATAGCCAAAGCCAGCAAATGAATTGTTAAATCAGCAAAACATCCACTGACTAACATTATGGACTGGGACGGTGAACTGAGTCATTTCCCAGCAGTAGCACATTATCTGACCTGCAGGATGATTTCCAGTGAAAGTCACTCACCATCATATTTATAGATGTTCATGTTGCGAGGTTCAGGGTAAAAACAGGAGCAGATCAGAGAGAGCATGGACAGCTCCTTCATCTTTTCCTTGTAAGCTGAAACGAGAGACCTTGTTAGCACGCTTCACTTCCCCAGCTCCTCCTTAGTGAATCTCTGACTGAGGTGACTGGCTGGGGACCAGCAAATCTGCTCCATCATCCACCTGGCAGATTTCTCTAGAATATTTACTTTCAACTATTTCTTCTGAACATTGAGCCTTTATCAAATCACGCGAGATGCTCAGTACTGCAGAGACTGCTTCTGATCTCCTACATTACCTCAGCCTTGGGTGTAATGCAGACAGTCCTCTCTGGTTTATAGAAAGTTAATCTGGCTACCAGGAACTGTATTTAGCATTGGAAGAGTGCCATGACTCCACTCTCTCCTGGCAGGTGGAGAGACATGAAGCTCTTACAAATTCTCTGACGTATCCAAATGCAATTGAGAACAGCTCTGAAACGCTGCCCATGTGTTGCCATAGGCAGATGCTAAAGACATTATCTGTTACAAATGAAAATGTCATCCAGATAATTAAAAATAAAAGCAGAAATGAGGATATATTTATCAAATCCTTTGCATAATGTCCTTAATATGCGCAACTACTTGAAACAAAGCTTTTCCTTCCTCACTTACTGGCCAAAATACGTTGCTTCCATACTCACGTCTAGTGCGTATCAGCTGATGCAATAAATACCCTTGTAATTTACCTTTATGGTGTTACCTTTACTGACCTTGTAATGCCTGTAGGCCCCAGTCATGGACTGAGGAGGGGTTGGTCTAGAAATGGTGATATCAATACCTAACCATTAAATGATATTCTGCGTTCACCCTTTCTAATTGCTATCACCCATAAGTAGAAAAATAGTCTTGTATCTGGTCGCTTGGCAGTTTAATGACAGAGCTCAGACTAGAGCCAGCTCCTGAGTCCTGGTGTCCTAGCCACTGCCCACACTGCATAAAATATGTATGTTGAGGGGGGGATTGCTTCAAAATTCATCTTGGCACACACAAATCCCTGCTACTATCAAAATCATATCTACAGAGGCAGACACACATTTGCTGCCAGCATGTGAAAAGATTGCTTAAAATATAACTGTGGCTGAAAGTATTGTTCTTAACAGATTAGACCAAATTAATCCTTGATGTTACTAAAGGAAAATCAGACAGCCCTTTGATCTTCAAATTGTGGATACATACGAAATTGTCATTCAGTCTTTCTCATGGCTGTTCTTGTGCTTTTTGAACTTGATTTTCCTACTGAGAAAGGCCCCCAAGGTTGAGCCTTTGGGTACTGCTCAAAATGGTGGTATTTGAATGATCCATCAGTTCAGAAATGGATTTCTAACTGCCAGTGGATGATTAATTATCTAATTAAGCTTTGCATGGGGGCCTCTAATAATGGACCCTAAATAACCCACCTAAAGGACATATAGCTTTTCAGAAACCATTGGTGAAAGCCAGCACCTCAGGTCAAGAGCGTACTGAAGATTTTGCTTTCTGTGAACTGAGGTTGTCAAGGAAGCTTGAACTTGACAAGTTTTTTGGTTTGAAACGTAAGTACCAACTTGCAAGGAATAACACAAAAATCCTGTGAAGAGACAAATCATGTCCAACTGATGTCTGTTAATAGTCAAACATAATCATATGTTCATTTAGGCCTCCATCCAACAAAGCATTTAACTGCATGCATAATTCTATGCACACAGGTGTGGTTGTCCAGACTGTCCTTTGAGGAGGGCTTGCCCAGCCAGCTGCCCACACCACCAAAATTGCATCCTTTTCAGCAGGGAGGTTGTGGCGTGGGAGTACACGAGACCCTGCATGCTGCCTGGGAGGCTGCTAAACATACAGAAAATGGATGCTGGCTTGCGTGTTAAAGACATGGCCATTGATGACACAAGCTGAAAGCTAAACGTTCTTGTACAAGGTCTGCTGAATCACTGCTACAATGTATAACTTGCAATACCTTCACAGAAAGAGGCATGCAAAGCAGCATCCTAGGAATCCTGCCTTTTGGGGCCTTTGTTATTATTTTTTACCTTTGCCTGACATTGAATATGTGTTGTTTTCTAACAGCATTTAAAATAATTAGGAAAAGGTGTTTGTTCTCCCAGCTTGTCATCTGCAAACCATGGCTGGAGAAAGATAAGAACGTGCTCAGCTCTCTTTCCTTTCAATACAATAGCTGCAGTGAAAGCACGCTGGTGAAATGATTGTCCTATTTCATTCTGGCTACTGACAGAATTAGGATGACCTTCTATGCTTTACAAGCATTACATTTTTTTTTTCATGGTATTGATTTAGTCTCCATTTGCCCTAGAAAGTCCTTCAACTATAGTTGGAACTTGGCTTGAATACTCACAGCAAGTTCCGGAGGCTGCTGCAACCCTGGGAACCAAAAAACCTGCCATGTTGACAAGTACTGCTTTTCCTGTTGGAGACTTAAGGGCTGAGAGCCTCAAAGGAACTGAAGACCTACACACCTCCTCAGGTATCCAACATCAGCATTGTGATGACTTGTCCCCCTTGACCAGGCAAAGAACAGCTTATTTGGCAGCACTGAGTAGCAGGAGCCCTGCTTTGCTCAGCTGTCCTTTCCTTAAACTGCCATACATTAAAGAAAAAAAAAAAGCAGTAATGTTATTCCAGTTAGTGGTCTGATTAGAGTGGCTGGCCCATGTCACACAGGTTGAACAGGGAGATAACTGTGCTTTCCCTAATCCCGAGGAGTTAGTGGTTTAGCCATGGAAGCTTGTTCTCTCAAAAATAAATGTTTTTCTATTAAAAAACCAGCACACTTCGGCCAGAAAGCCAACAGCACAGCATTTATGCAATCTGCACAGGACCTCTTGTGTTAACTGAAATAGGCACAAAAATTATCTGTCTTATAGTGGAGCTTTTAAAAATACTTGAAGACAAGCAGTGACTGCAACAAAATTTATTTTCCAAATGTGTTTCAACTGGCTTGCTAATTATATAGCTGCTTGTGCAGTCATGTAGGGTACATATCATTCCATTAACTGTGCAAGTTAAATGAAGGGAAGCAAATGATGGTAATCGTAATACTACAAAAGCTTTGATAAGGAAATTGCTAGGAAAGAACAATGTTGACAAAAGACGGCAACAGAATCTTCTTAGTTATATGCAACAAGATAGATTGGACATGATCTCCTTCTATGACCAGGTGACCTGCCTACTGGATGAGGGAAAGGCTGTGGATGTGGGCTACCTGAACTTCAGCAAGGCCTTTGACACCGTCTCCCACAACATTCTCCTAGAGAAGCTGGCGGCTCACGGCTTAGACAGGTGTACTCTGCGCTGGGTCAAAAACTGGCTGGACGGCCGGGCCCAGAGAGTTGTGGTGAATGGAGTTAAATCCAGCTGGCGGCCGGTCACGAGCGGTGTTCCCCAGGGCTCAGTGTTGGGGCCGGTCTTGTTCAATATCTTTATCAATGATCTAGACGAGGGGATCGAGTGCACCCTCAGTAAGTTTGCAGACGACACCAAGTTGGGCGGGAGTGTTGATCTGCTCGAGGGTAGGAAGGCTCTGCAGAGGGACCTGGACAGGCTGGATCGATGGGCCGAGGCCAACTGTATGAGGTTCAACAGGGCCAAGTGCCGGGGCCTGCACTTCAGCCACAACAACCCCATGCAGCGCTACAGGCTTGGGGAAGAGTGGCTGGAAAGCTGCCCAGCAGAGAAGGACCTGGGGGTGCTGGTCGACAGCCGGCTGAACATGAGCCGGCAGTGTGCCCAGGCGGCCAAGAAGGCCAATGGCATCCTGGCCTGTATCAGAACTAGTGTGGCCAGCAGGAGTAGGGAAGTGATCGTGCCCCTGTACTCGGCCCTGGTGAGGCCGCACCTCGAATACTGTGTTCAGTTTTGGGCCCCTCACTACAAGAAGGACGTTGAGGTGCTGGAGCGTGTCCAGAGAAGGGCAACGAGGCTGGTGAGGGGTCTGGAGAACAAGTCTTATGAGGAGCGGCTGAGGGAACTGGGACTGTTTAGCCTGGAGAAAAGGAGACTGAGGGGAGACCTCATCGCTCTCTACAACTACCTGAAAGGAGGTTGTAGCGAGGTGGGTGTCGGTCCCTTCTCCCAAGTAACAAGCGATAGGACGAGAGGAAATGGCCTCAAGTTGCACCAAGGGAGGTTTAGATTGGACATGAGGAAAAATGTCTTTACTGAAAGAGTGGTTAAACATTGGAAGAGGCTGCCCAGGGAAGTGGTTGAGTCCCCATCTCTGGAAGTATTTAAAAGACGTGTAGACGAGGTGCTTAGGGACATGGTTTAGTGGGCATGGTGGTGTTGGGTCGACGGTTGGACTTGATGATCTTAGAGGTCTTTTCCAACCTTAATGATTCTATGATTCCAAGATTTAAATGTTTAGATGCATTAAAACCTTCAAAGTTGGGCAAGAACAGAACACTGATTTTTGCTAAGACCAGAAGGGATTTCAGTATTAGCAATTCGTGCAGTTTTGCTCTGAATATCCTAGTATTTAGAGGTCTTCTTAATTTCTGAAGCTGTGTGATTATTTCAGAGCCTCATCTATTTTTTTTTAAATAAATCCTCATATTCAGAGTTGCAGAGAAAACCTTAGAAATATTATCTAATGCCCCTAAAAGCTTTGACAGCTTCAGAGAAAAAGAAACTCAGATAGCTTTGAAGCTCAAGAATGCATTATTCTTTTCTGAATGAGACCCAAATGCACCTTAATATCATTGTTTTAAGCCAATGTCACCATTTTCTCAAACTTCAGGCATTATTTTCAACAGCTATGTTTAGAAACTGTGAAACCACTCCCTGTGTTGGGTGAACATTTCCATGCTCTTCCTTTGTGGGCTCTTTACCTGCTGGTCCAGGTAAGATCTCCCAGAGGCTTTCAAGGGCGCCAGTGCTATGTCTGTATGAGCAAGCAGGGAAGCAGAGCAGGACTGGATCTCCAGAGGGAAACAATTCTAAGGACTCCATGCCCATGCTGTATATATTTTTGGGGGTCTTTTCTCTAGACTAGTTTGGTCCCATGGTCTGAACACCCATTAGTGCCTGGAGC